GTTGACAAGAAATGCTAACTAATCAATAAAAAAAAAAATAATTTAAAACATGCACTTATACGAATCCTTCTGGAAGTATGAGTGTGACCCTCCATTACAGTGCTCCGAGCTGGAATTCTATTCAAAACCTGCTCTGAAACAGCTCCCCCTTTTTAACATCTAAAGGAACAAAGAAATTATTCGTACTAAAATCTTCATAGTCAAAGCAGAGGCCTGTGACACCTGTAAATTGTAAGTGTATTAATCAGGTTAGACTAAATATTAGCTTGCCTTGAACTCAAATGTAAATGTACAGAAATAGTGTAATCAACAACAGCATGTAGGTATTTGTAACACTGTGGTGGTATTGCCAGACACAATGTGCATTTTACATCAGTATGTAAGCAATGTGAATGCCCTGAAGAGGTGAACAAAGACCTGTAGGCTTAGCTGCCTACTGGGGTTAAACCAGAACATTAGTGTTTGTAGATTCATCCTTAATCAGAAATCATTGCTTATTAACATTTCAAATTAAAATTTGCTCTTGCATCCTGCTGTTTTAACATAATACTTCTGTTTATGAATGCCCGTCTCTCTTTTTCCCTATCATTCCCAGTTTATACTTTAAGTAGTTATCTCAACTGAGATAAAATCATTGTTTTTCCATCTGGCCATTTCTTTCTCTGAATGAACTACTTCACTATCTGTTTTAGCTGCCCCTTCTATCACCTCCTACTATCAGTGTTATGCCATCTTTCTGTCCAATCTAGACTTGGAGCTATTTCTCATTCTAAATGCTTTTTCTTTTATTTTTCAATGATATCTAATTAAGTTCTCCCTCCCTAGCCTTGTTCACAGTAAACACTGTTTACCATTTGCCATTTGAACCCTTAATGTCATCCTATCCATGGTCAGCTTCAGGCATCTCAGCAGAGAAACACAATCTTTTTTAATGCTATGCACAACAATTTATTTGGGTAACAGCAAGATGACTTGCATGGCTGTTTCCTGGAAAGCCTCTTTTCTATGGAAAAAAACAAACAAACAAAAAAACCCCCAACTTCGTGTAATTTTAAAGCATCAATACTTTTAAATAATTCAATATTTGTAAACTTCTACCAGAGCAACTCTTGGTCAATTACCAGTGCTATTTCATTGGCTGGGTGGGAGATATTTCTTTGCAAATTGTTGCAACTCATTTTCTAAATAAGGAAACAATAAGTACAACTGAAAAGCTATCCAAAAGACATGTTTGGATCTTCTTTTTTAAAAAAAAAAAATAAAAAATAAAAACACTGTTTTCCTTAGAATGTCTCCTAGAACTTGTCCTCCGCATAACTCCTAAATAAGTCTTACAAGAAGAAATGCAGAGGTTACATAAAACTGTTGTCTTTTTAGAGTTCATGCATTTCAGACAGTGTATAGTTGAATCACAGACACCTGGAAAGTCTTGAAGTTGCAGTACCATGAATCAGTTACATATAAATAAGTTATTTTCTACTGAGGTACATTTTGAGGAAATGCAGGCAGGCAAAAAATACCTGAATGCTAATTTGTGTGGTAATTAAAGCACTCTCTTATATTAAATATATGAAATCCTGTGTTATGAAACTTCCAAGTAATGCTGAATCCAAAATACAAGAATAACTTTTTTACGATTTTTTGTTTTCTTCTATTTTAAAAGGATTTTTAGAAAGAGGCAGGAGATTAAAATAACATGAAAGTCTGTCATATAGTTAAAAGACTATCATGAATCATCTACTTTGCAGAAGAAACTGAATACAACAATCATATGCAACCTTTTTCCCACACTTTGAGAGGGGCAGTAAGGTAAGTGTGACAAAGTGAGGAAATATTGTAACACATGAAAGTTACCTTCCCAATGAGATACAGAGTTGCTGAAAATGTGTTACAGACCTATAAACTATTCAGCCGAGTGTATATTGAGAAGTTTACTCTTTTTTAGAAACTGTTATGGCAAAACCCTCTTTATCTTCTGGCAAAATAAGCCTGACTTCACACAGATGATAAGCACATTTTAGCTAAACTTTTAAAAAAAGTTATATTTAACTGAAGAACTTTCTCTTCATTGCACAGCTTGTCAATTTGCTATTACTTTCTCTAAAATATAGAGCAACATATTTCACTCTGTTGCTGCATGCACGCTAAAGCATCAGCCTTTGTGCTTCTACGAAGTGACTTGCATATCTTATCTCCCACTCCTCTGCCATCCTCCAAGTATGCTGCCCTGCCCATCATCTTCATATCTGGTGCTTCCCAAAATTCCCCACAACACTGTCATATCAGCCCTGCTAGACTCATCCTGTTCAGAAGGCAAGACAGTTTCATCTGCTGCAATTTCCCCGCTTTTCTTCTCTATGCTGGTTATAAAAGGAAGGAAAAGGTCAGCAGACATCACAAGCCAGAAGACGTTAGTATCTTCAGAGCATATCCCAAAAAACAGCATAGGATAACAGATGAGAAGAGTGTTTTGGGAGAAAAGGCAAGCAACATCATCCTTGTGTGCCTGTCACCCTCCCTCCTAGTATTTCAGAGTTACTCAGGAAAGAATTCTCAGGTACCATCACTCTTCCCTTCCTTCTTCATCTCCCTATTCTTCCCCAGTGACAGATGGATCTTTGTATATGCTACATTTCCTGCCTGCTCACCAGAATCCTTCATTTCTACTACTTTTTCCTCCCTCTTCTTATATGATCATTTTGGTATTAACATTGTAAAAACTACCAAAGGACATCTGGACATTACTATTCCAAACTATTATTTTGTCTGGCTGTCAAAAACTGCTTCTTGGTTTTACAGATACTTTCCAAGTTATGTGAAATTGCTGGCTTATTTAAAGGCAGTGGATCCATAACTCAAAAAGTACCTGACCAACAGGCATGCAAGAGAAAAATGCAATTAATTTGTTTAGAGGATCTGTCTATAGGGCTGTGATTTTACAAATTATTTTGGCTGCAGCACATCTAGCACAAGAATTCAGAACTTTCAGTCCATACCAGTGTGTGTTCATCCACATCACCTTTCTTTCCCTTATGTGGCAAAAGCAGTTTTTCAGAGACACTTCAATAAACGTGTAACTGGTTTTCTTTTTATTCCTTCCCCCCCCCCAATTTAAATACCACATACCAAAATTTGGTATTTGCAAATACTTTTTTTTTTTTTTTTTTTTTTTTAAGTTATTTGCACATCTCTCAGTGAAACCTGGTTCTCTGGCAGACTATCTCATCTCACATTAAATCTTTAGACAAGGTCTTATGCCCTGCACTACTTCTGGTACAGACCTATAGCTTGTATTTTAGATGAGCTCCCACTTGTGTGATACAAATATGCTATCATTCTGCTGATCTGTTACATTCTGTTTCTGAACACACAGTCCAAAAATAAACCCACAAAACAAGACTGCTATTGTGGTGATCTGAACTGTTGCTCACTCAATCCCAGGGACTCCTGATTTTGCTGTTTTCTATTTTTTTCCTTTTCCTAGAATAACAGCACATTTCTCTCAGATATATTAACTAACATTTCTCTGTTCAGACCATGTATTATTTTGCCACATTTTGTCTGTAGCCCTGGCTTTTTACTATTTTCTACCCCTACTGTTATTTATTTAATATGCTGTTATTCATTCCCCAGATTCTCATTTAAAATGCCAAATAAAGACGACTGCATCCTAAAGGGCACTTCTGGTTAGCTATCTAAAAAAAAAACCCCAAAAACCACACATGTAGATCTGTCTGCTCTCAGTGTAACCTAGGAATTTAAAAGTTTTAAAGAGCTTACTACAAAGACCTCAAACTTTGTAGTAAGTTCCTGAAAAGTTTTAAATTCCTAGGCTACAGTAAGAGCAGACAGACATATGTAGGTTTTTTTTTTTAGATACCAAACCAGTGGAATGCAGTTTTCTGAAAGAGATTATGTCTTTGACACTAGTTAGTACCCACACTGCCACAACCACTTCAGGTTTTAAGCAATTTAAAAGAGCTAAAATAAGGCAGCATTTTTATTTTTATTAAATTGCTAGTTAAGTACTGGTATCAGTCAATATTAGCTATCAAGTCAATCAAGCAATATATTGGCCTATATAGTCTATATTCTTCCAGTCAGTAACGAGGGTGTCAGATTGGTTGCTAAGCAGTCAAGCTACCCAACAGTTCCCTATTCCAAATCAAGGGAAGTGAAGACATTTTCAGCTTCCCACATAATAACCCAACAGTTTTAGGATAAGTTCCTTTCTTGTTCTAAGCTCTCCACTGAAGTAAACTCAAATGAAACTAATCCTTTATTTAGCAATCACACGCTCTTACACACCACACATTTACATGTTATTCTTTTCGTTCCCTAATTGCAGTTCTCCTGTCATTTGCTAGAAAGGGTAAAAGAAGAAAGAATATGAAATATCTGCTCTTACAAGGTCATTGGCACTGCTATCCTTGCATTCATGCATATCTTGGACTTTCTCCTGCCCAGACATTATGTCCGCCCAAACATTACAAAGCTACTTTGACAAATGGACTTTTTTTCATTCTAGAATAGCTCATCAGTATAGAGATGAGCATCACATCACATAAGCTTCTGGGCTAAGTTCTACTGCTCAAATCTAGCAGTCATGCAAGAAGGAGACATAAACCCAATGCAAAATATTGTTGCACTTGGCGCTGTCATGTTGGTGGCAATAAGAACACATCTTTAATGGCCTAAGACGACTGTTAGCCAAAGTGTTTGTACACTTTGAATGCTGGTGGAGAGTTCATGAAGACATGCATGTTTCATCATACTGTTACACAGATAGACACACACATACATAAACAGCTTTCCACAAAGTGAAGATATGATGCACTAGAATGCACTGAGGTACAGATTAACATTTCAAGACAGGTATCTGCAGTGTACCACTACTGTGGTACAGAGCTTCATATTTCTAATGGGTTGATGTGGACTGGAAACATTTGTGGGAAGACAGTAACACAGACAGTAACATAAAAAAAATGGAAGAAACCCACCTTAAGGAGTTCATAATGTTGAATACCATTCACACCAATGTCCGGATCGATGGCAGATGGGACAGAATAGCGAGAATTAATTGCTGTGTTTTCAGGGATAGAGATGTTAATAACTGTTGAAGGGAAGAGGGGGGCATTGTCATTTATATCCTCTATTAGGAATCTGATCTTGACCAGTCTGAAAACTTCATCAGGCAAAACAGCAACCTCCACCTCATAAAAGCAGCGATTCTCACTAAAGATGCCAGAGCACAGCTTCTCTCGGTCTATGCGGTTTGCAGTTGTGAATATCTCACCAGTGTTCTCCTCCACCCGTACTAATGGTACATCACCAGTCTTATACACAAGCTTGAACTGTAGTGGTGAGGAAAGGGGCACATCTGGGTCCAGCGTTAGGTTAAGATCCTTGAGCAAATTGCCAATGAGGACATTTTCAGGCAGTTCTTCCCGCACGGTATAATTCTTCTCCTGTGCGCCAGATTGAAATACAATACAGGCGAATAAGACTGCCAAGAGGTAGGTTCCAGACAGCAAGTCCATCTCCAGAATGACTAATGAGTATTTGCGTAGAACACCAACAGTAGCTGGAAAAAGGAAAAGAAACAAAGAAAAATTCTTAAAAATTTACAGAATATTGTGTTCTTAAAGTGATGGAGACATGAAAGGAGTACCTTTCCTATAGCAAATAACCTGAACTGTTCGAAAATCCTATCAGTAAAGTGATATTTGACTTAACAATCCTTCATAAAATGTATAAGATTTCTTTCACAATTTTCTACTTAAAACTGTTTACTAAACACTGAGCTAAGACTCTTAGAAGTGGATCAGAGTGAATGAACAAATAAATACAAAAATCCCTATTTCCAGCATGAGATTTTCCTTTGCTCCTTAAGAAAACCTCTTCCTTTGAGTCCTCTGCCACATTGTCCTCAATTTTTTTTTGTTTCCAAAGAAAAAAGTAGGTAAGAAGTTTGCAAGCCACCATCTGCTGAGAACCAGATCTTTTTATAACTCTTGCGCAGAGACGGGAAACCAAGAACACTTGTCTTAATTTCCCCCCCAAGTTTTGCACTAACAAAATTATGTACTATTTGTTAACAGCAAAGAAATCTGACTATTTTTAATACAGGAACTTAAATTGGCAAAAAAATGTTATCTAGATGTAGTGTGGTGAACTTCAGCCAATAATGGGTGGAAATCTGTCTAACACAGGGACACTAATACAGCAATCCCTTTCTTTAAGATGAGAAGATCTGATTTGATCTTTGGAAGTAATCATAAATACTAGTACTCAATTCATTGAAATATGGATTATGTGTCTAAATCCACAAGAGCAGTGCACAAATTCCAACACGGAAGGAGAACAGCAAAATATTGAAAGTTTTTGATGTAGAACTAAAGCTAAAAGATTTTTCCCAGCAGTAAGGGTAAACTTGTAACCCTCTTAGTTCCCCAGCTGCCCACCATATTGCCAGATAATCTCCATTTGGATCCTTGTCATTAATTTCCAAGACGGTTGAGATTTCCTTTGCTTTCTTCAATTTTAGGGAAAAAAGAAAAAAGAAAAAAGAAAAAAAAAAAAGAGATAGACTACGCAGCAATAACTCCCCTTCTGGTATGTGACAACATTTAATACATCTCCTGGAGAATGAACTGTTAGAAATTTTGTATAATTTTGAATCTGGTGATGTCTGCTCATATATGAGCTAAGTACTCTGACATACTAGAGATTTGCAAGACACAAATTTGTTCTGGGCTGAAGAAAAGAAAATTTTGTACTTTTCAACCCAGTTTCTGAATAACAATATATTCTCCTCTCAAGATTGTTAATAACCTCAAGAAAGATGGAAGTAGAATGGGATGACTTATAGGTACATACAGATATCTACGTACCTACAGCTGAGAACTTTTAGAGAAAAATATTCTGTATATAGAATATGCTGCTTTGCCTAATGTTTGCATAACTCTGCCCTTCCAGAATTTAGGATAATCTAGGACAGCACTTCTGTAAGGTAGATGCTCAAGAGTTCCATCTAAAATTATTTTTTTAGTTAATGAAGTTTTAGCTCCTATCAGCTTGGCATCTGTTTCAAATATACCTATACTAACTCATCTACATTCTTTTCATTGTGCAGGTAAAAATGTAATTTTTTTCCTGCCTTTTCTAATTTTATTCTCCCTGTCATAGCATAGATTGATTTACTCCTGCAGATCAAGTTGCAGTGGTTGAAGAAATTACTGAAGCCAGTAATTGTCTTCACCTGTTAGTTACTGCCTTTTAGCAGTACCACTTTCAGGATAATTTAAATTAAAACGTTTGACTTTGCAGTGAAACAGATTAGGAACACTTAATATTGCTATTCCCTTTCAACTCTGCTACCTTCTTTTGATTGGGAGTAAGTAACAGATAAAGAACATGCCAACTAGATCTGCAAGGTGTATCTTTCCATGTCAATATGATTTAACTGTAAAGCATTTTCTGGCTTTATGATTATACAAAAGGAGCAACATGAAATAAAAATCCAATCCTGCAAGTCTTCACTTATGAAAAAAGGCATTGCTCACTGGAGTAATTCAATTAACCTAAATGAGATTGCTGACATAGGTGAGAACTGGATATGCAGTTTATGTGGCATAGTTACCGCATTACCTGCGGTATTTTAGTAATTCACTGACTTATTTGCAGTACTTTAATAGTTCAGTATAAGGCACAATACAACACTAAACAGGCATTCAGGAGTGATGAAACAGTGTACTATAAACAGCCATTTTATAAATCCATTATAATATTAAACTCTAAATACATAAATAAGGAAGTCATCAGCAGATACTGATTATCATTAATGGTAACACTATGGTAGCAGTATGAGTTTAATGAAAGAACTGTGGTGATGTACAAATATATTAGTTTGACTATTCTGATTTATTAACTGTCTTATATTTCTGTAAATACATCTCCAGCAATTGTCATCCCACTAAAGTAATTGCCTGTGTACATTCAACCTGCAGAAAGCTCTTATTTCAGCAAAGTAAATTTTTGTATCCACTATTATTAAAATAAATATATTTACATTGTTTCCATGCAAAACACCAATAAAAATGTATGGGTTACAATGAAGAGTTGATACTTAAATGTTCCCCTCAAAACAAAATTTCAGAATGGTAGCATGTTCTGTGCATACTGGAAAGCACTATTCTGCCACTTTTTCTTCTTATCAGAAGTTAAACTGAAAACCAACAAAACAGGGAAGAAAAAAAACCCACAAAACAAAACAAAAAACCACCCACCCTTCATATCCTGATGTTTACAGAGTGATATTTTAAACTTAGAGTTCATTTCTGAGGGGAGGAAATAAAAAAAAATCCAACCATAAATATAAACCAAATTCCAGTCCCTATGCCAAATTCTTCTGTGACAATGTTGATGTAAGGATTGCCTATAAATTATAATAATATAAACATATAGTCAGGTATGTACATCTTCCAAATAAAAATTTTATGCTATAAAAGAATCTTTTGATTATTAACAAGGTTATTAATGCTACGCTGCTCCTCTCTCTCTAGTTTTGAAAAATACAGGGAATTTTAGTCACACTCAAAACAAGAGTTTGTGTTTTATCTATGAAGTTTTACAAAGCAATTTGAGGATGAGTACACATATCGAACAGTCTAAAGAGTTCATGAAAAACTTTCCCGAATCAATTCTGAAAGTTGTGATAGCACCAGTAGATAACTTATATTAAAAATAACCGATAAGAATTCCTATAACCCCAGTTATAACTGCAGTGGAATTTCTAGGGATTATGAAATAACAACAGCAGGACTCAAAGAAGTTTGTCAGGAAAACTGTGGGGTGGAACTTCTTAGTGTTACATTACTACGCATATTTTTATTTACTTTTTTAAATGAAATGAAGTTTGAACCATTTTATTAAAAATATTGTTGTGTCATATTAAAGAAAATACATTAAAACATGGAAATAATAGAACACCATTGTTATAAACCATGTTAGATAAATGTTAACATGACTTTTTGTAATGTCTTTTACTGCCATGGATTTTCCTGAACTACTAAAAGGTACAGAGACGTAATAGGCAGAGTTATGAGTTTTAACAGAAAACTGTTTGGTCTTGAAGTAGAAATCCAACCAACAATGACTTACAATTCTTGAACTTCTGTAGAACACACTATTTTCAAATGGTCTTTACCTGTCTCTCTAAACAATTCTAGAAACAGTTTTGAACCTTTAAAAACTGTTCTAGAGCTGTAGACCTTTAAGGGGAAAAAACCCCAACATGACTCAAATTTTCTCTTAGATTTACAGTGAAGCATCTTATGCTGTGGGGAAAGTATTACTCTTAAAGCAACCTATTTACATAGTCATAGCTGTATGTTGCCTGTCATTTGTGCCATAGCACTGATAGGAATACTATGGCAACAGCAATGCAAAGAAAAAGAGCATGAGGTACTTTCTCGAAACCAAGCATCACCCTGAAAGACATTTACAAAATAAGAGTATTTCTAATGACATACAATATTTAATATGTCTCATATTTGTCTACATATCATAAATATACATAGCACAAAATGGGAGAGCAATATAAATACAAATCCAAAAGCAAAAGGAAAGGCTAAAGAAACTGCAAATGGAAATGGCAGAGTCAGACAAAACAGGACATTAAGAGAAATTGTCAAAAGAGACCACGTGAATGGTAACAGATGGTGGAAAAAGTTAGAGATGAACTAAGACAGACAGACAAGATAAAAATACAAAAAGGAAAAAAGAAAGCAACTGGGCAGAAAGGCAGTCACAGTAGTGTGTGAAAACAGGCTTTCTTGATGGCTGGAGTACAGAGGCAAAAAAAAAGAAAAAGTACAGAAGGCTAAATAGAGTAGTCCAACTCTAAAGGACCTTTCATAAGCTCCAGCACTCACTAACACTTTTAAGGTGGTAAAAAAAAAAAAAAATTAAGAACAAATAAAATTGTTTAACAGAAGGTAACGTTAAGCTTGCCAAGCCATTTTCCCATCTTTCAAAAGAATGCATTGATGTCTGTACTACTGACTTCTGTAACTAGTAAGGCAAATGGCCCAGATGGACAGGATGGAGGGTGGGAAGGGAAAAAAAAAACACAATTTGAGATTTGCTCTTTCATCTGAGTATCTATGCACTTAAATATACTTGCTTTTTTGTCCAATATACTAAATATTAATGGCATAATTTAAATACTGTAATTGTTCATTACTATCTTCATTTAGCAGCTGCCAAATCATACCTTGAAAAGTAGACAGAATATAAAAACTTTAACTACCTAATAGAGTATGATGTGAAGGTAGAATCTAAATCTGTTCTTCATACACAAGGCTCTACCTGGTCCCACCTGAGTCAGAATTCCTGTAGCTTATTACAGGACTTGACTGCTATTTCTTACTTAAGAGGATCACAGAAAAGTAGTAAATGCAGTAAAGAGTCCAGGTGTCCACTTCAAATGAAAAAGCAACACTATTTCTTGATACCTGGGTTCAGATTTGACTTAGAGTAGGAATAAATAAGCTGTGGTAATATTTTGTAACTGCTATATCA